GCCTAGGATATGGACATTCCCTAGAGAAATGACCAGTCCTCCCACAATTGTAACACGGATAGTTGTGACCACGTGATGTTGGAGCATTACCACTAGGAACATTGGTTGACCGTGAGTTCGGATAGGTTAAAGCAGATTTTACATTTGATCATTGCCTGGCTTGGAATCTGCAAGCGGACGATAAGGAGGACGATAATGGTTTATGGATGATAAATCACTCTCTTCTTTTGGGTTCCACCAAAAGGTCCAGACGGCACATTCTTTTTCTTCTTGAGCTCCTTATGCTGCCGATACTTTGCCTCTGAAGCAAGTGCAATATTTACTGCCTCATGATAAGTGATATTGGTACAGGCTGTCATCATTGTCTGCAGTTTGGTATTCAGACCTCTCATGAACCATTTCTTTTTCTTGGCATCCGTATTGACATGTTCTGGTGCATATTGTGACAGGTGATTGAATCTTCCTACATACTGCATCACAGTTTGATCTCCTTGCTTCAAGGCAAGGAACTCTTCTAACTTCATAGCCATCACTCCTTCAGGGATATAATAGGCTCTAAAAGCAGTACGAAACTCTATCCAAGTTAATGGAACACCTGCGGGTTGCATGGCCATAAGGTTTGCATACCAAGCACCGGCTGCACCTCTAAGTTGCTGGGCGGCAAACACTGGCTTCTGAAACTCCGTGCAATGAATAAGATCAAATTTCTGTTCCATGGTCCTAAGCCAGTCATCAGCCTCCAATGGTTCATCAGCCTTAGTGAACACTGGGGGTTTTGTATCTGTGAAGTCAACATATGTAGCCTCATGCCCGTTAGGATTGCGTCCGCGATTTCTATGCATCTGATTTTGATTACTTTGAGCCATCTCATGAAGCAAACGAGAATTTTCCACAGTCACATTGACTAATGCAGCGATAGCATCAGCCAAATTGGTCGGCATTGGTGGCGGGTTGGGGATATCATCCTCATCTTGTGAAGTACCCGGAATCTGCGAACCTCGCGTACGACGCATCTGTTTATAACAAACCAAACTTTATTCACAGGCCTTTATTCAAAGATCCTAAAGCTTACTACAACGCATTACATCGGTGCCACTTATTTAAACACAAGACCACATCTAAACAAGACTACTTAACTTAACTAGAAGTAATTATTTCACAACTCTACTCCTTTTTGCGATTACATCAAACTTCAGGCTCGGTATCCATTCCGGAATTATTACCGCCTTCATTATCACTTTCATCAATCATTACTAATTCTTCGGGATCTTCTTCTTCTTCTGATTCACTTTCATCGGCAAGGATGACACCGGGGATCCAATGCATCAACTTGGGGTTCATGATTTGGATCTAGGAGATTGCTTAGCCTATGAACTTCCTCATCTTGAGATATGTATTATGCTCTTCTAAGTCTTCTACATAAAATTCTAACTCATGAGTTCTAACTCTAGCTACATTTTCCCTATGCCAAGCTTCATTCCTTCCTTCCACTGCATTTAACTAACATACGTTCGCAGCCTCACTGTGAGCCGTGGTAAGACGCCTTAATTGTTCCTGTAATCGCCCACCGAATGGCGTCCATAGCCCTATCTCTAGTAGCTTGGGCTAACTCTGCAGAAATCCTCTCAGATCTCCGCTTTGAGGATCGAGCCTAAGCATCATCTCGCTAGCACCATCATTCCTAGGGGCAAGTTGGTGACGAGGAACTCCTTTGGGTCCAAAGTGGACTTACTGGCGTCATCTTGGCACGAGCCATACTGAAGGAAACCAATTTAATCCAAGTAAGACCACTTGATCAAAGTCTAAAGAGCAGCTATGATGGATTACATTCCTCAAATCAGACTCATTACTCAACTCCAGACTAAGAGGTGAAGGAAGTAACGAGTGAATTATTCATGATGCATGAATCGTTCTTACGAACAAAAAAAACATCAAAGTTTATAATGCACATAAACAACATTTATTTTTTATATAGGGCATAGTAAGATTACTACTCCACCACACAAGACCCTTTTAATCAAATAAGGAATGGTGAGAAAGAAATAAGATAAGTCAGAAGCAATTTGGACCAAACTATCAAGTTAAATTTAGTCATCCAAATCATTTTGAAGTTTTTGTAAAACAATACAACAAAAACCTTGTAACGATCGCTCTGATACCATTCTGTGGCAGAACCTCCTAAATTATAGGGCCCACATGCACCTGTCACTGTCCAACGACCTTTGACATTTATGCATATGTTACCGATAACTTAAGAAGACTGTCGGGTGTCCTCGGAGAACCCCGAATCATCCACGATTTCCGAGCAGGATCACATTACAGAGTCATTGCAGTATTACAACATTTATCCAAATATCAACACAGAGTAAATCAGCGGAAGTCTTACAATAACTTAGTTTACAAAACATTTATTTCAAACCTTACAAACTAAGTTCGATTATAATTACAAAACGTAGTAGTGGAGTGGCATTATAATATATACAAAACACACAAATATCAACGCCTTACCTTAAAGGGCCACACATTACTTATCATCATCATGCCTCAACAACAAATATGCAAAGACGATCCAAAACAGATCTCGCTCATGAGCCTCACTCGCAACAAGGGTCAACAAACCCTGAGTACGAAAGTACTCAACAAGACTTAACCGAAATAAAAACTGATAAGACTCAGGAATGCAGGCTCAGGGATTCAAGGTATGGCTTTAGCAATAATCAAAGTTCTTTTGCTTAAAAGCACTTTAACAAAATTCTTTGTATCAATATTTAAAATCTCATCAGATCATATACAAAGCTGACACGATCCGTATTAAGATCATGAAACTTCATATCCAACACTTTCTCGAACCATTCTCGAGTTCCAGTTATTAATACTACGATGATGAACAGAGAAGCGAGTCTCCATAACCGAGGAGCAACGACGATTCGAATCGATTATAAACCCAGCTGGGACTTCCAGACCACACGACATATGTAGGTCCCTGACCTACATATACCAACCTACCCTTGGATCCTCTAAACAAGAACGGGTCCGCGCCACCCGAGAGCACAGCACACCTCAAATCCGGCCACATTCCAGCCACGAGGGTACACGCTACTCCCGCCATCTCTCCACTCCCAGTGCGCGAGTAGCCATTCTCGTAATAGAATAGCCAAGTTAAGGCTTACCGGAGTATGTGGTTAGTACTACAAAGTCTCACCGCAAGCAGTTCACCAACGGTACGGACCTTAATCGACACAGGCGGAAAGAACCCGCTCACAAGACATTACCAGGTCTTGTGGCTCACACACACCGAGTCCGCCCGGTCTAGATTTATTACTCCACATTGCCATATCACATGATAACATAAGTAACCAAAGTTCCATTTAAAACTCGCAGGTGACAGGTAATCACCCAACTCTGATCGGTCTAAGCAGAGCTAAGCATAACTAGGCATATACGATTTTAAACGGGTAACAAGGTAGATATGGAACAACAAGGTTGATAATGCAACAATTAGGTTTCCACTTGACTTCTAATCACTTAATGCAGTATTGAAAAGCAAAAGCGAAATCAATTTGTAAAATACAAGGTAGGGTTATATGCATCCGGGGCTTGCCTTCGTTGACGGAAAAGTCTGGCTCCTGCGACGTTTCACAAGTCTTCGATCCGACCTCAACAGACAGATCAACCTCCTCCGCAACTTGATTAACTACCACGTGCTCACCTTCGTTTACTACACGTAGTAACATTGCCATGCTTAACATGATGTGGAATATGAAACATGATGCTCGATGATGGATACAAAAATAAATAAATTGGATACAATTTTTCTTCGCAGTACAGTTACAAACCAAATTAACCAAACCATATTCGTAACTGATGTGACCACGCTAGCACCGATCACTTTGGTGAACTCTCCGACCACTATGGTGAACTATCCGACCACTATGGTGAACTATCCGACCACTATGGTGAACTATCCGACCACTACGGTGAACTATCCGACCACTACGGTGAACTATCCGACCACTACGGTGAACTATGCGAAGCAAAGATCGTCGGTAAGGGAGAACCGGCGACTGCAGCGATCAAAATGAGTAAACAACAACTGACGAAAGACTACAAAGATCGAAAAGCGAAACCGTAAGTACACTCGATTACTGCATAACGGCTCACCGAAAAACTCGCCACGATGACACGCCCGCGGCGGTGAAGTTCTTGACCACGAGGAAGAAAAAAACGTGGACAATGAGTTCTCGGCAATTTCAAAGATCAAGGCTAATGGCTGGATTCGCAAGGAAAAGACGGAACTAGGGCGGCCTTTACCGAGATGGCAACAGCGCTAGGGGAGACGATGCGCGAGCTTGTTGGAGCGATGACAACGACGGTGGTGAAAACAAAGGAAGAAAAAGCAGCGATGACGACGTCTTGGTACTTATAGCGCCAGCGCAGAAGCTCAAGGAAGCCACGACGGAGCTATTTCCGTGCCAAGCGACATCAAAGACGGCCACGACACGCTGAACGCCCGAAGAAGGAACGACGACAATGTAGCTTAAGCGGTGAACACTGCTCACAAAAATTACAAAATTGCCATCGCCAAAAATTCACAATTCACTCTCAAATTTTTCATAACAACTCAAAAATCTCCAAAAACAAAAGTTGTTCAAAATTGAAAGTTCTACAACTTTGCTTCTATAACCATCTCCTAATTACATCTAGATTTTGAAATGGATTTTCGGGTAGGATTTAAATCTTTGAAAAGCGGGGTTTTCTCGAAAAATTCAAAATCCAAACAAACTTTGAATTTAAGTCAAACAATACAATTCAACACATACCACATGAATATAAACTTGTTTTAGTGTATGCATCTCAAAGTTTTCACCAAATGCCAAATGCTTTGCAATGCATATGATGACATGTCAGGTTTTAGTATTTTAAACACCCGAGGTGTTACACTGGTCCTGGTGCTGCTGCGTAGGCAATGAGCTGGTGGTGACGCGGCCAGGCGCGGGCACCAGGAGCAAACGCATGGCGGCCTTATCCGCGCGGCCCCGTCGCCGCGCCATCTCCACCCCATGTTCCCCGGACCGCCACGGGTGCGCGGGACCGACCCGCTGCTTTCGGTGGTTTGGGTTTCTTTTGCGCTTTTCACGTTGCCAGGTTTGGCCCGCGGGCCACCGGCGACGGTGACCTTTTGGGGCGCGCTTGTGGCTGTGGTTCCACACACCGACTATTTCCCTTGTCTCCTCTGTTGCGTCCGCTTCATCTGAAACATGCGACTTTTTTTTGAGAAGCTTGGCCATGGTTCGAAGTGCTTGGCTGCTTCATGCTGACGCCACCACTGGCATGCTGCTTGGTCATGGCCCTTTGACAAGTTGCCGGCACCTCCAGCTTTTTCTCCCTCCACTAAAAAAAAATACATGGGCATTTTGAACTGTGGGTAAGCTGACAATTTCAGTCAAAATTGTTTCCTTACTGACTGAGTTTGAGTTGCGCTGGTTTGCGCTTCTACTGAAATATCTCTCCCGTACCTGATATTTCCCTCGCTCGACGAGAATTGAGACACGAGCAGCGGTCTGCTTTCACGTCCCCACCGGACCGTGTCCGCGTCACGGTCTTGTTTCTCCCTCCGGTGTCCGCCTCGCCGTGGACCACAACCACCGGCCGTCCCCGTCGGTTCGCACAGCGGCGTTGCGTGTCGAGACAACCAATGATTTACAAGGGATTTAATTTTACTGTAGGGACAAAATTAGATGCCGGGTAAGAAAACGGGGTAACAATCTTCGAGCCAGCGGTAAGAGAAAAGCTTAGATATAGCTCTATATGTTGACAGGGGAGAGAATATATGAATAAATAACACGTTAGTAGAACACATAGGATGAAATAATTCCTACTTTCTAAATTATAAATCGTTTTGATTTTTTTGATACATAGAATTTACAATATATCTATACATTATTTCTAGATATATAACAAAAATAATGTACCAAAATAAGTTAAAAGGATTTATAATTTAGAGCAGAGGGAGTATCGATTAAATCTAATAAATCAAAACAATTTATAATTTAGAGTGGAGGGAGTATCATTTTTAAGTCTTTATCTGACTTGTGGATTGTGCTATTAGAGGTGCCCTTATGGCCCCGTTTGCTTCGCAAAAAAAAACCGAAACACTGTTCCGACTGATTTGTTGAGAAAGAAAAACACTGTTCCGGCTGAAAAAACGAGCTGAAAAATACGGATTATAAGACAAGCTGCAGGCAGCTCTACCATTCTCACTGCAGTCTCGCACAATCGCACAAGGCACAGCTGCCAACACAGAAACCAACAAAACATAGAACAAATCACAATGCGTAATAATTATTATCCATCCGCACATTTTTACTATCATGTAATGCTGGACAAAAACTATATCAAACGATTACAATATTGTACATTTACAGCCTTTACCCTACTACGTACTTTAGTTTACAACACTTGCTGCCAACCAAAGTGTTGGAATGCAAGGTTCTGTGTATGCTTTGACCACGGAGAAATGCAGTGGTCCGAAAGCAGTTGCTTTCTTCGAGCGTTCTTGCACGAGACTGTCAGTCCTTTGTCCCAGCCGAGTTTTCTTGCACGCACGTATATGTATTATGTACACCTTCATGCACGGCACGTTTGCTTGTCTTGACATGGAGTCTCTGATGCTCGCTGCACAAATGATGACTCCAACATCTTCTTGGGCCTTAGCTCAGATTTTTCTTTTGGGACACGAAGTGCCATGAACTGCAGTGAGGCGCTCTGAATTTGGTAGATATAGCATCCCCATGGGTAAGCATCAGATGACGCCCATATGATTTGCTCCTCATACTCGGCATCCTCCGTGAGTCTCTCATCCACACAGAAAGCACAGTCAAGAGGGGGCTCCTCGAATGAAGGGGCAGCAACACACCCAAGAGCTACGTATCCCCCCGGTGGCCTTGGAAGCCATATTGATACAGGGTTCCTGTAATCCTCAGCACAGTTTCTCCAAACCTGCAGGCAAGGCAATCATGAAAGCAAAATCTATCAACAGGACTTCTCCCCTCATACACTGTTCCAAAATAATAATAAAAACATATGCTATTTATGCATGATAAAAGTAACGGAAGGATTATATTATTTCAGTATAATAAGCTCAATACTGGCCAAGCATATATGACACAAAATCTCATTGAAAACTGAACAGGTCATAGCCAAGGGGCAGTGCAAAGTTCCCATTGGTGTTCTTGTATACAGAAGCAAACTGTGGCGGATGGGTGCCAACATGAGCAACATCACCAATTCGCGGCACTGCCGCAGCTCCTAGAAACAGCACATGTCACCTCACAGAAAACGTCATAACTTTTTACTCCAAACTCCGTTTTCAGTGATCTTGGACTTTCTGGAAAGCTTGTTTCGATGGCTATCCAGTCCAGCCAAGAGCAAGCCCCAAAATCAACAAGTGCAGGTGTTGTGCTAATGTGTCTCTCTCATGTTAGCACTTGGGTTCTGTTAGTTTGAGCAATTTAGACTTGTCTATGATTCGTATTGCATCCCCTTTGATAGTACGGCATACCTATACTCAGGATCAAGAGAATATAACCATTTCAACCACTTGAGTCTTCAATATCTTCATATGCCATTTCTTCTCAATATCACTTTATAAGGGGTTGCAATCATCTTTATCTCATTTATTCGAGCAAACACACCTTGAGCATGTGACTTGAACCATTTCCTTACATATGAGTTCACCTTAATGGCTTCAAGTCACTTTCACTAATGATTTGATCATCAACACAATATGACTCCCCATAGCTTGATTAGTTCCTCGACTCAATGCAAGTACTCTCTTCTTCACCTTAGCCATGGTACCTCGGTCCTCAAGCCATCGCTTGCCCTTCACCTTCGATTAGTCCCTCTAAGCCCTTTCCTTGCTATCTTCACCTTATCAAGCCATACTCAAGTCACATCATATTAAGCATCCATTGAAAAATCATTTCTTCAATAGTATGATCCTTGCTTGAATATCTTCTAGATATGAATGTTGAGATCAATCAAAGCTTTAGTTTGATTCACATAAAGACATATATGAATCAATATCAATATGGTCAAGCCAATTCACGATTCCTTGTATCCTCTTTATTTTGGCCTGACACTCCTAATACTCACTTCAATATCTATCTTCATACTTCTAGCTTGCTCAAGTCAATGCAAAGTGATTTTTTAAATCTTTATCCATACAAGCAAACCAATGTAGAGAACATCTTATATCCATTATACATTGTCTCCTTTATTATTTCACCTTTGCTTAACATTTCCTCACTTATACACTCTTAATTTATTCTCCAATCCTTTATCAAAGCTAGTCCACTATCCAACTCTTCTTGTTCATGCAAAGCAAGCCATTATAGAGACCAATCCAAAATCATCAACTAATGTCTCATTTGCCATTTGCCAAATATGCTTGCTTTCACATGATGCTATGATATCTCACAACATAAAAGTCATTTCATTGATTTCATTTGCATTGTTATCTTTTGCTTGAACTAGATTATTTCCATAATCTTTCAATACAACAATATACAATTTGGCCTTCATTACAACACTATGTGGCATATCATCAAGTTTGCCTTCTTGTTGAACCTATATACACTTCTCATTCCACATTTCACAAGTGTATTTAATAGACTCAATTTCCTGTTCACCACTTAGCAAACTTGTTAGACCTTTAATGGTGTTTTCATTCAATTCACCAAAACCCACTAAAGGGCTAGATGCACTTATAATCTCTCTATTTTTTGTGATTGATGACAACACAATTAAAGTTTACAAGAGATTGATAAATAACAAGATTTTGAATCCTATGATATAGTGAGCTCCCCCTAAATGTATGCATAGAATGGAATTTCAAATTTTGGCCTGAAATGCCAAATGCACATATTCAAGATAAGGTGTGGGAACTCACCTATATCTTAGCATCCGTGGGGTGCAAGGTGTCATCATGATAAACGTGATGCTCATGGCAGTTCATGCACTCAACAGTTTCTGAGGCTGTCTTGTGCGGCACTTCTACAAGTGAGCGCGGCACTGCTGCACAGTGGCAGTCAGAGAAAACAAATAATACATTAAAGGCATGAACATCACACTAGCATAAGCAGTCCTTATCAAGAGCATCAATTTAAACTATCCTTGCACACATCACATAATAAAAATTGAAAAATCTTATATGCCTCCCTTTTACCCCTTTAAATCCACATATCAATCTCTCCTCCCTTACACTCTCCCCTAATATTTCTCCCCCTTTGGCATTAATCTCCAAAAAGGATTTCTCCACCAAAAGGAAGAAATGATGGAAGACAAGTGAGGGCAAGAGGTAGGTAAAAGTTCAGCATATAGGATTTCTCTCTTGAGTTTTCTACTAAACCAAGTATGCAACACTTTAAGTCAAGATTCTTGAGAAGTTAGCATATTTAGCTCATACCTCACTTAGATGATAATTTTAACATGAGTCAAACTCACTTCATCGCCACAAGAGGTATCAACCAAATATCTAACTCATTCTCTAATCGTCGCCATAAGAACAAACTCATGGTGTGACTGAAAATATTGCATGCACATGCACACACTAGCATGTAAGGGCCTTGATGCACAAAGGTAATATAAGAGTTCATGGAGCGATATACCTTTGTTCTAAGCCTCACAATCTCCACCATGATAATGATTTCAATAGTTGGATTTAGTGCTTTGATGGGACTAGTACTTCTTTATGCAAAATAATTTTATTTGTGCCCATCTCTCTTCATCATCATCTTCAAGGAGATATCACAAACTTGTGCTTGATCTCAATTGAAAGTCCTAACTCTTGTTGTCGTTTTGAGATACCAATTGAAAAAATATTTCTTGATGTGCCAAATTGAAAGATTGGCCACCAATAACAATTGAAATATTATCTTCATAATTTTGACACCAAATGAAGGAGTCTTCACAAGTTGATGCCAATTGGAAAGAATGCTCGTATCTCATAATGTCACCTAGGGAATGCTCATAAAGACAAGAGATAGCATTAAATTGCACAAGCTACAGTCACAACTAGTGACCATTTGGATGTGGAAGGCATGTAAGTCACCAATTGCAAAACCTTATAACATAGACTAAATTCCCCCTTTTTGATAATGCATACATATATATGTGGAAGGAAAGAACATATGCACTTTTGGTCAATTAAGTCCAAACAAGGGAATTTAAGCTATATTATGGAGAGTAGCTACTTAAGAGATAAAATTGCAATTCAAATGAATATGAG